AGTGCTCAAAAAACGTGGTAGTGGTAGTTGGGGTGAGCCACAGAGCGACATGACTGTTCCTCGTCGGCGCAAACGTAGTCGGGGGGGGGAGGGGCTTTCCAGAGGGCCTTCGCTTCTTTCGTCCAAAGAAGGCGTAGGCATAGAGCGCAGACGGTCAGAGTCGCCTTGGGTTGCTCTTGTACAGCAAGTGGTCCCTGTGCGACCATCTGCGCTCTAAGCCCAAGGCTTAGTTGAAGAACATCCATCAACTGGACATTCCTTCGCTGCGCGGGTCTAGAGGTACTTTCTCATTGCGTCTTCATGGTGAGCACTTGAAAAGAGGAGAAGAAGGAAAGAAAAGAGGGGAAGATGGAAGGAAAAAGGAAGAAGGATGGAGACTCTGCTGTTCACAGATATCCTGAGACAGCCAAGGGTTGTTTAGTGAGGAGTTGCAGAGGCGCTATATAGTTGCCCTCCTCCCTTGCCCTTGTCTGTTCACGTGACCCTTCTCTTTTTACGCATTTAAGGCCTTAGAATGGATATTTAATCTGTTTTTTGGTTTGGTGAGAGGGTGCAGGCAAGTAGAGATGACGCGGCATATTCCCGCCGTGGTGTGGCACCCCACAACTACCTTTGATTCCCCCTTCTATAGTTTCATTTACCGCTAACTTAGTCAGCTTATTGTTGTGCCGCATTTCCACTAAAGTTTGTTTCCTGTTCAGATGAAGAGAAGAAATTAGTGCGTGAAATCTACAGCAGTGCTATTGATCTGCTCGGTGACGAAGACAAGAAACTCCCTCAAATAGGACAGGTACAGCTTACGGAGTTTCTGCTCGTTCATAGTTCAGAATATGCTATTCGCAAACGCTCACTCACACTTCGCTATCATCGCGCGATCGATTCTCCTTCATACTTCACGATAATCGCTAATCGAATTTGTGGAGCGATTAGATTGCGATGTATGAAAGCGTTCTACGTGGTTCTTGAAATGACTGTTTTAAGATCCTCCCTCTGCTGTTGCGTGGAATCGGTGTACATCATTCTGGTCTACTACCAATTCTCAAGGAAACAGTAGAAATATTATTTGGCGAAGGACTTCTGAAGGTTAGTTCAGACCTACCAGGCTTCTCCTTATGGGTTTTCGAGTCTTCTTATTCCAGACCCTATTTGCGACGGAAACATTTTCCATGGGTCTGAACATGCCAGCAAGGACAGTTTTGTTCACGTCGGCTCGGAAATTCGACGGTGTCGACAATAGGTGTGTGACCTTTGTAAAGAAGCATTTCAATTTCTTTCACCAATTTCTATCACTAGTGGATAACTCCGGGTGAGTACATCCAAATGTCTGGAAGAGCTGGACGACGTGGTAAAGATGACCGTGGTCTAGTAATTCTTATGGTTGACCACAAGATGAGCAGCGAAGATGCCAAGCAGATCATAAAGGTGCTTCGAAGAACTGTATTGTAGATTCGGGCTGTTTGATTTGGAGGGGAGACATTGCATTTTCTTCACGTTAATTTTTTTTAGTGTCGTGTTGAATAAACAGGGTCCCACTTTGCTGGAAGCTACTTTACAAGAGTTGACAGGGGTGCTTCTTCCTACACTTACTAGGTTCCACTGATTTACACTTCATGGGGCTTCACAAATTTTCAACAGATCTGCTACACTTGGCCCGGCTCGGCACGGAGGTAGGATAGTAGCGAAAAAGAAGTTGTCCACCCACACTCCTCCCTCCTCCCAAACCTTCATAAACCCACTTGGAATGGCGAAGTTTCGTGCTTGTCTGGGAACTGATAGCTTATTGGTTTCATTTTCTTTTTGGTGGTTCTTCAGTTCCTGTACTCATTCCTCGGCTTTGGGTATCCAGTGGAAGGCAAGAATTTGCGAAAGATACGCGAAAAGTGCGAATTCTGCCCAACGCGTCCGCGCATGCGCTTTTATTTAGGGTGCAACCGATCCTCTCAATTCGCAGTTTCGTCTTACATACAACATGGTGTTGAACTTGCTCCGAGTTGAAGGAGTCAATCCAGAATTCATGTTGGAACGTTCGTTTTACCAATTCCAAAATTTCGATGCCATACCGGAACTACAGCAAAGTTAGTTTTTTTAATGTTTGTTTGTTAGCCAGCAAATCTATCTTTCCTCGGCATTGACATAGTTGGGAGAGGGGTAGGGTGTACACCTGTGAATGGCTCTCAAAACAATCTGTTATTTCGCCCTTTCGCCCCGCGCGCGGTGAGAGGAGCAGTATCTCTTAACTAACCAGGAGCCAGGTCATCTGCGATCGCGACGTCGCTCGCGACGCCCAGCGACGCGACGGATTACGTTTGTCTTTTCACATTCATGGGTAGGGTCCGCAGAGGGGAACTAAATCGTCCCCCACCTCCTAGCTCTCCTCATTTCCGAGCTCGAAGAAAAACGAGCCGCCGCCTCCTTCTGAATATCCAACTACGTCCGCGACTTATTTTCAAGACATTTCTCTTAACTCACAATTGAAGTGCTCTTGCACTACTGGTTTGTACTACCAATGTTCAGTTAATTATTGTAATTAAATACTAATCATAAATATCGGCACACAGCGAGAAGGCGATGGAGATTGAAAATATGCGTGTTGACCACGAGAGGGATATAACGGCCTACTTTGACATGGAGAAGCAGGTGAGTTATGTGCTTTTGTTCTATCATTATCACTGTGATAATACGGTAACTGGTGTTCCGGTACTAAAAGAACCGAGAGGGCTACGTGGTGAGAGCAGAACGCGCTGGCTTTGTTCGTCTGCGCTACGCTAAATGTGTTCGGAAAGAAGGGGATTTCCTCGGTGGAGCACGCAGACGAGCAGAAGCGAACGCGACGCTGTGTTGCCTCTCGCGACATCCTTTCCAAATACAGTAGTCTTTTACAGATAGCCAATTTGAAAGTGACTGTCAAGAAGACTATTTGTATGCCAAAGTATCTTGTTCCGTTCCTTCATGCGGGCAGGTTGATCCATGTAAGTTTTCCTTTCCACAAGAGCAGCTCATGCCACTCAAATCATGTAACAAATTGGATTTTACAGGTAGTTGCGGGTACGCGTGACTTTGGTTGGGCCGTTTTGATTAATTTCCATAAGAAGGTTAACGTGGACGATAATACGCAAATGGTCTATATTCTGGATGTAAGGAATTTCTTTATAATAAATGGTTTCGGGCAGGTCTAATTCGTTTTGCAGGTTTTTATGGGATTCAGGAATGATGGCCAAGATGAAAATATTAGCCTGGCACAGTTACAGCCAGCAACTGAAGACGCACCTGTAAGTTTTATGTCACCCAAAGGTTTCTTTCGGCTTGCGATCGACTTGAGTAGATTATGCGTTACAGTATCTCATTGAGCAGAAATACAGTTTTATGCTATTAGGCAGCGTTCAGACTTCGCGACGGCAGCGCTTCGGTCGCGCGTCACGCGATCGATGCAGTCGAAAGCATGCGCATCGATCGTCGAATCGCGCGACCGAAGCGCTGCCGTCGCGAAGTCTGAACGCTGCGTTAGGGACAAACTGGCTAGTGGAGTCTTAAGAGGACCGCTCTAACAAAGCTGGGATTACCGTAATGCGCCGCTCCTGCCATTTGTGAGCGCTCTGCCTGAAATTCTACTGATCACTTTCAAAGGCTACAGTTTCTGAAGTTCTACGCGCTTTAAATTCGGTTACCCTGCAGTTCCATTCAGTGCTTTTCAGGCGTTATGGGAAGTCGTACCAATAGCCCTAGATTGTGTTGACCAGATAAGCGCAGTTCGATTGAAGCTCCCACAGAAGTTGGATTCCAGCCATTCGAAAGGCGTTGTACAGCAGATGGTGAAGGTAAAGTTTTGTCATCATGTTTTTTTCGAAAATTATTACCGTATTTTAATAGCGTGATCTAGAGTAAGAATGTGCTCCGCGAAAATAGGATGGGTGGGGATCCGTATATTGAACTGAAGTGCGCACCACTAAAAAAGCGACAGTGGTTATCAGTCTTTGCCCATCTGTCCATCGCCCAGCTAGGTCTTCACAACAAATGAGGGGTCTAATGGGAAACTCAATGTAATCTTCAGTTTTCCACACGGGGCTGACCGCCGTGCCACAGAGGCCTCAGTGGTTTGGTAGATTGCACAGGAAGCTAGGGTGAAGTGTTGCATGAGATGTCTAGCTTTTTTTCGGCCCTTTTCCCCCTATGAGTTTTTCTCAGCATAAGTGCAAAAACTGCATTATTGAAAGAAAGTAGCTCATGACATAGTTGATTTTTTTTCAGAATGTTATGTCACGATTCAATAAGAGCATTCCACTGCTAGACCCTGTGAAGGATATGCGTATTACTGAGCCAGCTCTCTATTACGGAGCCGGCTCTGGTAGATGCCGTTGAAAAGATTGCCGATCTGGAACAACGCAGTCAGGAACACCCACTGCGAAAATTGAAAGAGTTCGAGGATATCAAAAAGCAGTGGGAAGCAAAGGTTTGTTAATTATTTTGTTTGAAAATAAGGGTGATCTTATGATATCAAGCGCGATGGGGAAAAAAGCGACCAACTAACTCGGACCACTTGGGTACTATGTTTTGATTTTCTACAAGGAAATGTGATCTCAGTGTGATCCCTCTGAACCTTAGCTTTTTAAGTTGTTCTAACAAGGTGTTGGATGTTATATGAGCATCAGCGATTTGGCAGATCTTCAAACAGCGCCTATGCTCGGCAGTCGCATCAGAACCTAAACGATTTAATGTAGAAGTGCTGTTGTGCAGTTTTCATCGCTGCGGATGATGGCGCATGTCAGCGACGTTAGATTTGGCACGCCGCTAGCCCGTTCGCCACCAGTTGCTCAAGCGGTTGAGCGACAAAAACGGACGGGAGACCGATACAAACCATATGGTACAGTCGCTTTCTAAGAAAAAAAAAGGAAAGAAGCGAGCTGACGCCGCATCAAAACCATCCCCCCTGACACGCCCCATGATCAGCAGCGACGAATACTGTATATCGAGTCAACTAGCTAGGAAATATTGGCTATTATCGGAGCGTTTCCACAATAAGCATGTAACGTTTACCCTTTGATACCAATAACTTGATTGGGCTAGCTTTTTGCCCTTCCAGCCTTCCTCAAAGGACTGCACGAGGCGATTCAATATTGAAACATCTGAACAAAGACAAAATCGAATTTTGTTTCCCTGATTCATGGATTTCAATGCAGGACCAAGCCAAGAAGGAACATCGAAATCTCCGTGAGGAGTTACGTAAAGCGCAATCTGTCTTACACTTGGAAGAGCTCACTCAGAGAAAACGCCTACTTCGCCGTCTTCAGTACGCTGATAATGCTGATATTATCACAGATAAGGTGCGTATTTATGATGAGTTCGGCTTATTGTTTTCTCATGTACACCGCACATCGCGTAGAGAGAGTGGGCGTGGCTGCGTACTTCTTTGAAACGTGTCGACCGCTGCGCTATCAGCAGAATATTACCATTTCGGAACAACTGTACGTAGGTCTTTCGTCTAGTCCTTGACGGAAGGACAATTGCCCCAAATGGAAATATCACGCGAAAAACGCATTATATGCCGTGTTCAAAGAAAGTTCCCAGCCACTCCCCTTCCATCTTTGCGATATGGGGTCCATTTAATTTTGCACCGTAAATGTATTGCCTTTGAAACTTCTCTAAACTCTGCCATTTAATTTGTGGTTTTGTTCATCGCAATGCGAAGTTGTAGTAACGGCCTTTGAGGCTTGAGTTCCGTTCTTTTCGAGTTAGAGTGAATAGCAATTTTGTGTCAGAAATTACACAGAATCCGTTGCCTCACTTTCTATAGGCCCGTTGCTATCTCGCTTTCCTGAATTCGGAGGTTTGATTTCACGGGAGTTTTTCTGGTGTAGTTTGGTTTCCTAAACTGTTACTTCACTCACAGTCGTTTGGCGCGGAAATAGTGGCGCGGTCGTCACACGCGTCGGCGCCAAAACGCCATGGATCAGAAGATTCGCTGGAATTTTGTCTCCTGGATTGGCTTGTTCCTTTGGGCACGGAACGGAGCTAGAGGCGAACGTTGGTTTATACCCAGTTTCAGAAGGTACTACGGGCTTCTGACCTACCATTCATGGTAGAGTAAAAAAACGTGGTGTAATGGCACTGGCACGCTCACTACACGCGGGGTTCGGGGTGAAATCCCGTCTCGGCTCACGCCCAGGCCCTCCAAGCCTTCTACACTCATAGGACGATTAATTGGTACCACATTCAACTGGAAGGATAAAATCATTGACTGTCACTCGGCTGACCCCCGCTTTATTTGGAGCAGTTGGTGTGATGCTTCTAGGAGAATGTATGGTGTGCGGCTCGAATGAGTGGCATTATCATACCAAGCAAGTGTAATCGTTGCTAATGAGGGTAAATCCCGCCGGCCAACAAGATTCCTACGAGATTTGGTGGTTTTGTGGTGCTTTAGCACCACGGCGGACATCATGCTTATATAGGAGAGTTCGTGCGACCCCCATCCAGTCGACAGGTTTTCGCAAAGTCTGCCTCCAGGGATAAGTTCTTGATGGAATCTTCTGTGAATATGTTTGTAAAGCGTACGTCCATTACCGTGGATAGGTTCGCTTCGATAGTATAGTTGTTGTCGTTTCTTAGTTAGTTGTATAGTTAGCACGTTACCGCTTTCATGGTCAGCTATACGAGGTCTACCTTCGAGGGACTTCCAAGCAAATAGGACCATAATGTTTCATTATGCATTGTTCTAGATAGCGTTCATACTTCGCGACAGCAGCGGCGATCGTCGTGGCAGAGG